CAAGCATCATTACTTTCGTCAAGTGCCAAGGAAAAATAGGAAAGTTTTTTTTTTTGATCTTTGCAAATGCTGATGCAAATTGTCTCCCATTTCTTCAATCTTTCGTGTAATTGTAGGTTGTGAAAGACTCACTGTACTAAATAAATCGGCCTTTTCTGGACACATCTCTTTGGCAACAGAAAGAAAGCATTCTTTAACAAATTCTCCCTCCACGAATGGTCTGCCAGTGCACACTATTAGCTTGGCAACTTGAAAACTTGCTGGCAGTGATGAAATATTTAGCTGCTCCTGCTTCACAAAAGTATTTTGCTGAGTTGTCAATGTATTTTTCAGTTTTAATATTTTATATTTTCTCACTTCTAAGACCAAACAATCATATTTATCTTTATGTTGAGTTTGATAGTGTCGATGTAAATTGTATTCTTTGAACACAGACACTATATTCTGGCATATCACACACACAGCTCTTTCCTTGTACTGCATGAAAAAGTAATCATAATTCCACTGTTCTTTGAATATCCTACACTCCGAGTCAAGTTTTCTCTTTCTTGATATCATTGTTTCCTGGGGATTCCAAATTGCTAATAGTAAAATACCAATATATACAAAAACAATATACCAACAATAACATTGCCCACACAGAGACATATAGACTGCACTGCCCATTAATGCAGTCTGATCAGTGCCCATCAATGCAGTCTGCTCAGTGTCCATAAATGCAGACTTGCCAGTCCACATTATTTCAGCCTCTCCAGTGCCCATATTGGTGGAACTCTGCTTTTACCTCAGGCTCACACTTGTGCGCTGCGGGAACTGGCACGATTACAGAGCCGGTTCCTCCACCACCTATCCAGTTCACACTACCCTGTGCGATCCGCACTGCGATCTGTGAACTCGCACAGGAATCTGATCGCATAGGTGAGAAGACCCATGCAATCAGAGTTCACTGAAGGCACGTATGCCTTTTTCTTCCGAATCTAATGCGAGTTCAGCCATATGCTTGTATGGATGAACTCGCACTGCTCAGAGATCGAAACACCGTGAGACGGGGCTTACACAGCACACAACATACAACATCATACACAACTGAATAGCAATCAGAATATAAATGCACTTACTGCCAATTATATTGGGTTTCCTACTCCTCGGCTGTCTACAGAGCTGGATT